GCTCCACCACACCTTGAAGTCCTCATATGCATCGTGCCCTGAACCAAGAACAGGTCTCACTTGGTGCCAACACCCTCTGATTCATCTTTTCCATTAAGAAGCAAATTTACCCTTCATCCAGCTAAATTTCTTATATTAGTATGATATCTTTACTGCCTACTCACAAGCCTATCACAATTGATATTGACACATAAAGGTTGTTTATTACTGCTGTATCACACTTTGATACTATATTAATTTATCAAGGTAAACATTCAGAGTTTAGAAATTTATATCTAACAAGAGCCACAAAATTTAACATCGGGCATCAACATTACTATCTGGCATGCTGAAAGGTTCAGTTAAGCACTTTCCATCATTTAAACGGAGTATCTCCTGTGCTTACAAGTGTGGCATACAGACTATGCCCACATAGCAGCTGGGAGGTGTAATTCCCAACACAGGTACATGCTAGATATGCCCTAGTTAGCCCCTAAAAATAGCAATGTGACCGGGAAGGCTCAAGTGAGTCCAAACAGTGCGTATGCCACTGCAGCCATGGCTATTTTTTTAGGTGGTAGCTCAAGCAGAGCTACCATGTGTGTATGTCTGCCCACATTGGGAATTACAGGTCCCAGCTGTTGTATAGAAAACTCCACAATGGCTTTAAATTAGCAAAAGGAACTACTAATATTCAGGGCCACTGCCCCAAGTGGTATATTGGATTCAAATTATGCAGCACTGCAGTAGAATCGGTGCAATATCTATTTACTTTCAAATTCAATTTCATTTCAATTTACTCTCCCTAACATTTCCAAGATGCTGCAAAATTTTCCTTAAATACATAGCCACACTGTTAATGGTGTCAGCTCTGACAGGGTATTTAGGTGCTAAAAGCCTCAAGTAGGTGTGACAAGTCATTTTGGTTTTTGGTGAGCAGGAGCCTGTTGAAGCTCTTTGGCTTTCTTGGGAAGGGATGTATTTAATCCTTCACTTCACCTTTGTGGGCAGAGGTAAGGTTACAATTTTGGAGGAGATGGAGGACTTCTTCATTCTTCACCCAAGCAAGACTTAATGGCAACCTGCAATATCACATACACACACTAATTTCTGGCACTACAAACCATAACGGGATTTTTCAGTTTAATGATTCTCCTAAAATGACTGGAAGCGAAATAACTAACAATACTGACATTTAAATTATTCTTATTAGAATTCAGACTGAACACCACACTAACAGTCCTGGGAGCCACTTTCAGAGATATTATTTAAAGTTGCTGGTAGAGTTAGGCAGAAATCACTGCATCAGTTTATACTGAAGATTATACTTGCAACCAAAAAGGTGAGAGGCAGGTAAAGTGTGGGTAAAATGAAAGCTTAGTTTCCGGAGCAGAAGTCTAGCCAAATCTGCAACAGTTTCCCCCCTCCCCGCCAATGGTTTTTCAGTAAGTGAAAGTCAAATTCACCTCCTCCCCTTTTCTACAAAAACCCCATAAACCATGAAAAACATTTGGTTTTAGTCAATAAAATACTTTCTGCGGAGCAGGTTTTCAGCAAAAGTATTTTTGTATTTTCCACACCTCATTAAGTCTTACAGTAAATGCACCTGTAGAACCAGACCGTGGGAAGTAGTGTTATAAAAGTGTAGCAAAACCACTGACTGTAACCAGAGGACCATCTAGTGGTGGTTGGGCCACATCTCATGCCTTTCCCATTGTGCTGTAGCTATTTAAGGCAAATATAAATATACACTGCTGTTCCTTAGAAATAAATCATCAATTTGTAGAGGGGCAACTGTGGCAGCTTCTTGAGTCTGCAGAGTTCCGAAAGCTTGATTCTTTGGGCGACAGGCCTGGGTATGAGACAGAAACTAAAGTGGTTGCATTAATTGATTCACTGCTCCTAGGAATGAATGAAGACAAAATGTGTCCAAGCAGACTTAGATTAGTCAGCAGCTTTTGATAACAATACTAAAGTTCTGTTAACTCACTAGTAGATCCTGGTAGGAATGGATAAAGTTGTTGTTGAATGACTCCATTCTTACACCCAGAGGACAGTCATGGGCAATATTTCCTCTATCCCAGGAGTTCTCTCCTACAGCATAACACAAGAGTCCCCACCACTGTTATCCCACCAATTCCACATGTATATGTGGCTGACAGCATCAGTAAAGAAACATGGGCTGTACGGTATTCAATATAACTTACTTCTCCAACACATCTCACCGAGCCAGATCAACACAATAAATAATCCAATGTTACAATGAGTTTGAGGCTTGGACAAAGGCTAGCTGACTGCAACTTAGTCCAGACAAGACAGAGATAAAGTTCGCAGGTTGGGGGAAGAAGCCAGAGAGTTGGTAAAGCTTTTATTGGTGCTCATAACTGAAAGAGAGTCAATGCTATTTGTAAAAGCATATAATCAAAGTTTATTATTAGAGACTGACTTCTCTTGGAAGCCCAGCTAGTAGCGGGCTTCCCCCGCACCTGGCAAGGTGAGTCATGCCTTTTCACTCTGATGTGGACCTTACAACACTTATCCGTATCTTTGTGACTTTGAGAACATGCAGAAAGTGAAGTTCACACAAAATGTGGTGGACCACTTATTACACAGAAAGAAAAGGAGTACTTGTGGCACCTTAGAGACTAACAAATTTATTTGAGCATAAGCTTTCGTGAGCTACAGCTCACTTCATCGGATGCATTCAGTGGAAAATACAGTGGGGAGATTTATATACACAGAGAACATGAAACAATGGGTGTTACCATACACACTGTAAGGAGAGTGATCACTTAAGGTGAGATATTACGAGCAGGGAGGAGGGGAGGGGAGAACCTTTTGTAGTGTGTCAACTGCTGGAAATGGCCCACCTTGATTATCACTACAAAAGGTGTCCCGTTCTCCCCCCACTCCCCGCTCCTGCTGGTAATAGCTCACCTTAAGTGATCACTCTCCTTACAGTGTGTATGGTAACACCCATTGTTTCATGTTCTCTATGTATATAAATCTCCCCACTGTATTTTCCACTGAATGCATCCGATAAAGTGAGCTGTAGCTCACAAAAGCCTATGCTCAAATAAATTTGTTAGTCTCTAAGGTGCCACAAGTACTCCTTTTTTTTCTGCGAAGACAGGCTAACACGGCTGCTACTCTGAAACCTGTCATTATTACACAGAGTTTCACACTGGCAGCACATTATGCCGGTGCTCCACAACTTGTATTAGCTATCAATCGGAATACAAGATAATGATTTCAAACCTTCTGTTATTTTGATACTGCCTCTTTCTTGGGGTCACTCTACCACAACTGCCATCAGTAGAGAAGCTTGAGTTGGAGTTCCCCACTAAAAGGGAGAAAGTGGTTGGCAGTGCCCTGCAGAAGGGGTCTTCCACTTTGAAATTCTGATCAAACAAGTTGGGGCGTGAGCTCAAATTTGTCAACTTTCTAGACATACAGGAAAGTGCCTTTTTTTGGGGTGGGGGGGTCCTCTCAAGGAGAGGACTGGAGAGGTTTGGGCTCATTTTACTAATGAATATTTCTGTCTGCCCTTAACAATGTATTGTTATTTGTGTTGTGTGTTTTTATTTTATGGAATGGATGACTAGACACTCAATAGTCATCTAGAAAAATTTATGTATACAACCTCAAGTTAGGAACCACAATTTGTTTAGTTTCAATTCTTTTTATTTTCATCCTATAATTCACAGTACCTTTCATTCAGGGGAAAATATAGGAGCCCTCTAGTGGTTAAACACATGTATATTTACATAAAGTCAAATTTTGATACCCCCTACTCAAAATGAGTAGCATTAACTTCACAAATAGTCAAATTGATTTCTGAAAATAATGGTTCAGTAAGGCCCCCAAACCTGCAAACACTTACATATGTGCATAAATAAAGCATGTGCAAAAAAGTATTTCCAGGATAACAGGAGCAAAGCATTTAAAATTTGGCGGCAGAAGTTAACTGAAGACTGTAATATACTGAACAACAAGATGTCTGCTTAACATTTCAAAGGATAACATTACATAGACTTTCTTTTAAAAAAGATTTAATAGGGCAGATGGAACAGAAATGGGAAAAGCCAAAAACAAACACACACACATAGCAGTCCGGAGAGTAAAGAGGACTACTCTATTTTCATTGTCCAATCTCGGCAAAATGCATAGCATGACTTAAATGTATTAAAACAAGAGACATTTTCAACATCTGAATTATTACAAGGAAAGAAAATTTGGGTTTTATTTGTTTTTTAATATAGTTTTAACGTAAGTGTCCTTATGAGCCAACATCCTTATTTCAACACTTGACCTTTAATCACCCTAGTATACTCTGTATTTAACTTTCTTATTTTAGGTTCACTGATGTGTTAAAAACAAAAGCAAAACAAATGATACTTCTTAACTGTTCTCATCCCAACTACTAATCTAAAGATGGCAGCACCACAAAAACTCCCAAAACAGAAGCTTACTAGCATTTTCAGAAGAGGCCCAGGACTGAATGAGCATCAAAATGAACTATTCTTGAGGCCCTACTTAATTTGCAATATTGAAAATCTTGCAATATTAGGCTTCCACTACAATTTTATCAGCTGCCTGGGGGGTCCTGCTGTCAGCCGGAGCCCCAGGCATTAATGACCATAATATTGTTGCAGCAAAATGTCCTGTTATCAAAAAAAATTAGTAGGCATAACATAATACCTGAGTGTTTATATTGTTCCAGAAAATTTCTCTTAAACAAATAGGTCTTCTCTGGCTTTTTCAAATTACCACAATTAATAAAGGTCTATTATTACTTTTCAGCTATTTTCCATGTCTCGTCCGCAACTCAGCCACAATTATTTGACAATCATTCCGCAATTGAAGTAGGGCTTTAAGTATTCTTTGATTCCTAGACATTCCCTGCTAAATGTAACACAGCCCCAAAGTGGGAAAGCTTGCATATGCCACAAGCCCACGTTGTTCTTGATCAATAAATAAATTTTAATCCACAGGCTAAAATTCACTTAGAACTAATTTACCTTTCACACCACCAAATGGTCCATAAGTCATGTTGCAGGCTGTTCTCTGAAGATTGTGTTCATACATAAGTTTGATCTGATACTGGTTCCCATGTTCCACATTTCCCAAAGTTCCTATGAAAAAACAAGGAACAATATAGATGTCTAATTTTTAACTTGTGGTCCACATGAAGGAAAAACAGGAACTTTTTTAGATTATTTAAGAACACTATATGCTGAGGCCTTATCTATTATTAGTTGCTTTGGTATGGGTCTGAGGGTTGACAATGATATATTTTTAGGAAAGTGGCAAACGTGTTTATTATTTGTACATCAGCAGTACCTACAGGCCAAAACCAGAAGTGGGGTTCCATTATACTAAGCACTGTATAAAACAAAATAAGAGACAGTGCCTGCCCTGAAGAAGACTATTTGAGCAAAGGACTCTCACATCTTTCCACAGTATATGGTTCAGCCATGTAATCAGAAATCAATTTACTCACCCAAAGAAGGCAAAACAAAATGTTTTGCATTACGATTCTGCAGTTCTAGGATCCAACAAACAAAGTATGTCTCGCAATTTGTTTCAGCCAAAATGTCTTAATCTCCTTAAGAGAGACTCTAAATTACGCCACATCAGCTCTTGACTCTGTTTTTGCAGTATGTTTCTAATGGTTGACAGAAAACTGATAATTACCCAAGTAGTAACTCGGTGTAGTGCTGGACGCTGCAGATGCCATATACATATTGTGTTAATCCCCAGACATGATAACTTCAAGCTCCTGCAGATAGATGCCTGGAGATATTTCAGAAGTTTATAATCTACAAGAGCTTGAAGTTGGTATCTTTGGGGAATTAATAAAATTTGAAAAAAAATTACACTGTCAAAATTTGGAAAATCTCTTAAGAACCAGAATAGTAAGTTTAGAACTGTGGTTGATGCAATGCTCAACAATGTAAGGACAATGTAATCTAAAATGGACCTTAGCATCATTTGAAGTGCCTATATTCCATGCTGCATCATCTAAACTGAATCCAACCATTGTTGATTTGAGCTTTTCTGCCTTGAGCCCTGCAGCTCCAAAAGTTTCCTCCCACCCCATTTTATACTATTAGCTGCCCCAGAACCCAGCTCTCCTACATCAACAAAGTGAGCACAAAGTTTCCAATAGTGAACAAACCTGTACACCTTCACTTGTTCAGCTACAGACTACCATCAGTAAGAACAGTAATAAACCTAACTTTCTGTAATCCTTTGAGAGATGTTAATATAGTCTGGTCAAGATTAAGGAGGATCCTTTTGGCCTACAAATTGGGGATTATTTCAAAAATCTCTAAAACTGAAGTCATGTTTAGCAACTATGTAAGAAATGTTGAAAAATGAGGCAAATTCGTCATGTTCCAGTTTATGCAGAACTCCAGCAAAAGAAGTTTCTTTTGTTTTGTGCATCTTAGAGATCCAAGAATTCAGTTTCATATTTGATTACGTACTGCAAACAATACAGCTGCATCAGTTCTGTCACATTCAGACCTTCTACACACTAAAGGAGGGGAAGAATAAGCAGGTTTACCCTTTCATTTTGCTATTCTGGCCTCCTTGCCTTCACTAATTCATCTTCCCTAGAGCCTCTCTTATTTTAAGGCAAGTATCAAGCATTTAATGTTTAATAAAATTTAGTTCATTTTCTAAAACAATTATATTTACAGGGCATCTTTATCTGCCAACAGTTTGTTCATTAGAGCTCTGTGTATCAGCTTCTGTACTCAAAGTTGTAACATAAGAAGCTTTTATTGACAGACACACACTACTATTGACACACTTCTGTTGACAAACACACATATTTGCTTTTCCATGCACAAGTTTAATATTAATCTTCCACATGCGCTCTAAAATAATCCTCTGAATGGTAAAGCTAGTTACAAAGCTCAGAACGTGCCAAATGGTTCAGCAGCAGAGCTACTGCTTCCACAAGGTAGATCTGCAATATCACTCTTCAAGCAAAGGAGAACTTGGAATGTTGCAGAGGTAACACTAGTGCTTCTCTTCAAAGAGCGCAGTCTACATAACTACAACTCATTAGTGCCTTGGCACAGAACAATTCAGCACACTCAGAGCAAGCTGCCTGCTCTCTATTAGCCAGAGGGTACATTTTATACATAATTGCTACTGTATGACAAAGAAGGACCAAAAGTGTGTAAGAGAAGAAACATCAGTCCAGAATGTTGAGAGTCCTTCAAACACTTTGATTGTGACTTTGCACTGTCAGTACCAGAGAAACTTCTCACTACATATGCCTAGTCAGACCAGATAGCTAAACTGATCAATAGCACACAAAAAAGGCAGACAGAGAGATAGACAGCTATTCTGGGCAGTATTTTTTACCTGAGACAGCATACACACACAGTTTTCTGCAATGCAGTACAGCCAGATGAAGTAGTTCAGTACCACTGACAATGAGGGGGGTGAGGGGGGGGAGAAAAAAAAAGGAGAAAATTTGCAAGTGAGTTTCCAGTAAACTGCAGCACTGAGGGCCTAATCTAAGACACACTAAAGTCAATGTAAAGCCTCCTGGTGGACTTCCCTGTGCTTTGGATCAGGCCCCCATATTCTCAAATGTTAATTACCAGCCAAATAAAATATTGTGCAACTAAACTATCTCTCAGAATTAAAACATCTGAAATTATATTTGACAGCTAATAGTTGTTAAGTTCTCAGTAGATCCTTAAGAGACATTTTGCAGATGTGAGCACATGAAGCAAGCAAGCTTTTTCTGATTCAGCGTGATCCTGTTATCTAACAAGCTAGTACTAATACTTCCAGTGAGAGTAATAGTAGGGGGCAAATGTGTGATTGTCACTTTAGATGAGCATCATTTGATAGATATGGATACTACTTTACAGTTTGTATGAGACACAGTTACTAACAGTAGACTGAATTAGTTAATCTACAATACAAAATTAAATACTCATTATACTAAGATAGTCACAATATTTTGTATTCTGTGCCCATCCTCGATACACAAACAATCTCATTTACTGCAAAGAAAAGAGCTCTTGCACTATAATAAAATAATTAATAATAAATAATTAAAAAGTAATAGCAGCAGCAGCAGCCGCCACCTTTGGCTAGTTCCGATACCATAAGACATTGCTGCAACTGTGCAGTACCTTCAAGAACACCCAATTAAGAAATGAATGGTGTTAAGAACAGAGACAGGCATTACTCTTAAATTGGCTTATAATAAATAAAATAGCTTGCAAAGCAACATGGCTGCTGCATACTTAGTAGACAAGTACTTTTTTAAAGAAGCACAGCAATGTTTATATGCAGCATCAGAACACAAGTAGAGGACATTTGGGGATTTTAATATAACCTAGACTAAGACTTTACCTTAATGAGCATAAACATTTTTTTCCATTTATGCTCTATACTATATAAATCAATAAGCAGATGAAATGCATAATTCAGAGTTCATGATTTTTTTTAAATGGCTGTAAGAGTCAAACACTGCAGTGCCAAGAAGTAGATGTTGATTCAAATGAGATAGCTCAAACCAAACCCCCGGCACATTACAAAATTGATCTAGATGGTCTTTAGGGAGGCAAGTTAGCTACTATGACAAATTAGCCTAAAGCCTCCTAATTAGTGTAATCATTATCAGCAACATGGACTGTTTACTTACGAAACAAATTTTCCTACTTCCACCTGGAGTATTGAATCTCGCAGTTGCACTTCCAGGAGCAAATCTTCAGCTTGCATTCCATCTCCAGGTTTGACAGGGTGAGGATTAAAGATTCGAAGATATCCAATATAACTGCCAACAATTATTTTATCTGCAGAAAAATGTCCAACAAGAGGAAAATTAAAAATAGAGAAATAAATGTTCTGCATATGTGCTTAAAAGTGTACTCCTAAAATGATGGGATGTTTACACATAATTATGCTGATGTTCTGCATCCTAAATACCGAACTGACTTAAATATTTCAACAGTGAGAACGAGGAAGCGATAGTTCTCAAACTCCAGTCCAGTCTCCGAAATCCACTCTCTGAGTGTAGCCAGTACCTCCAAATGTTCAGTTCTCAAGTCTTAGAGATTTGGCAACGCTCTTCTCACCAAACAAGCAGCAGAACGTTGACTTTTAAAAATCTGGTAACAACAATGTTATAGGTGCTATCCAGATGAGAAATTGAAGTCTGGTTATTATTTTTTCAGGTCAATGTATCAAAAACGTAGAATGGGCCAAATTTAGGCTTGACATAAGTGGGTGAAACTCCCATTGACTTTAAAAAAGAAAAAAGGAGTACTTGTGGCACCTTAGAGACTAACAAATTTATTTGAGCATAAGCTTTCATGAGCTACAGCTCACTTCATCGGATGCATTCAGTGGAAAATACAGTGGGGAGATTTATATACACAGAGAACACGAAACAATGGGTGTTACCATACACACTGTAACAAGAGTGATCACTTAAGGTGAGCTATTACCAGCAGGACAGGGGGGGGGGGGGGGGCGGAATAGTGGATTTGGTTCAGGATTCCTATAGTAATAATATTTATTATGAAATAGTATTTAATAAAAGTCAGCAAAGATTCTTAAGAAACACAAATCTGAAGTAAGTAAACAAAAATGATTACAGAAAGCCCCCTGTGCCTCAGGAGATCAGTTCTGCTCACAACCTCCAGAGATGACACTAACATTTATCTCCTCCAGACATCTATCTGCATCTGAGATGTACCAATAAATCCTGTCCATAAGTCACATGGACATACTCATAATATAAAAGACCTGACTGTTTCAGAGTGGAGGCAGCCAAGGTTTACCAGGCTTTTAGCCATTTGGAACAGTTCCACAGGACCCCATTTCACACAGGTGGAGAAGCAGGCAGCTATCTTCACCTCTACTGTAGCAAACAATATTCATGCTGCAATTCATTCAACTCAGAGCGTGACCTCTGCCCCTTGCACTCTAATCTCTACCTCATCCATTTCTGTCACAATTTATCTGTATATCACACTGACAGATGAAGATGCAGTCATGAAGACATTTGTATGTCCCTTAGCTCCCTAAAGCTACCTCATTTACACGTTCTTTACAAAATATTTTTCTTACATTTGATAAACTTGCCTAAAGAGGGATTTTTTTTTCCTTCATCCAGATGGGCAGGCAGTCAAGTTTACCTCTTATTTTATTTACTTTTGATCAAATTCCATACCAAAGGGTACCCCATCAAGTGCTCTGGCCACCCATAGCATATTTACAGACAACGGAACAAAGTAAATGCAAAGTAAAACGATTGACCAAAGCAGCAATACTTCTTCCTCCCACCTTAGCACTATTGAAAATCCAGTCATATGACCTATACAGTTTAAGTTCTTCTCCCCCAGCAACAGCACTTTCCCACTAGACGGAAATTCCACCTTCAATTGCCTCAGCTAATACCTGCTCAGAAAGATGATTTTTTGGGCATGCTACCAAACCTAACAAATTCCAGCTATTTCAAGACATTTCAAAGGAATAACCAAAATAAATTGGTTAGTCTCTAAGGTACCACAAGTACTCCTTTTCTTTTTGCGAATACAGACTAACACGGCTGCTACTCTGAAACCAAAGGAAAGGAGAACACTCTGTCAGCAGCTCCCTTTTTCTTTTTTTTGAAGGAACAACTGCGGGGGGGCGGGGGAATCAAGCGCAAGGACTTTCTGATTACAACTGCAGCAGAATGGCACAGAAAGGCAGTCTCAGGTAAGCAGATCCCAAAACATTTAGGGATTTATAGGTCAAAACTAACACTTTAAAACTCTTGGTAGCAGGTCCCAAACACAACCCCCTAGCTACTTCAAACCCAAGCTGACATGAAACAAAACCTCTCATGGTTGAGCTAGCACTAGCTTCATTAAACTAGCAGTTACTTTCTTGAATTTTCCACCAAAAGATGCCCAAAACTGTATTTTGCAATTATACTTGATAAGTGTTTTTCCCCTTCAAGTGTATGGCAATGTTTTCAACAATTCTTTAATACTGTACACACACTGAGGTAATATTAAAAATATGAAAATGGTGCCACATACTTGTGAAAAAATGCCACTTACATGTTCCAGGCTCTAGCAGGGTTTCTTGAAAGCAATGACAACATATAAAATGAAATGATGCATTCTAGAATATCTAAGTGAAGTCTGAAAACACAAAGAAAAGGGGCAGGGGACAAAGTGTAGTAGTATATGCCGAATGCCTCCTACTTCATCTCGTTAATAAGCATTTAGCACATGTTGCTGGAGTCAATAAAATTTTCAGGCATGTTTATGTCACCTTTAAAATCTGAAGGCCAACTCAGAATTTCTGTTTACCTTGTCCATTGCCACTGTTGTCAACATCAGCTACACATAAACACCCTTGATCAAATTCTTCTTTTTCTCCAAGAGCTGTTGACCACCAATCTCGGGCTTTAAATAAAGACATTCTCCTTCACGCTAAAAGGAAACAGACTCTGGGGTAAAATCCATACTTTTCATATCAAGTTATACAGATCATGTTAGCTTTTCTAGGAAGCATAGTAACCTAAATTATTTTTGCTTTGATTCCACATCAGATCAGCACAAAAACAAATTAAATCAGGAATTCTAAATATTTGTGAGGTGATGTCCCTGTGGAACTCGTTGGCAGGGAATGTTGTGAAGGCCAAAAAAACTGTAAGTAGGTTCAAAAAAGAATTAGAAAAGTTCATGGAGGATAGGTCAATCAATGGCTATTAGCCAAAATGGTCAGGGTTGCAACCCCATGCTCTAGGTGTCCCTAAGCACCTGACTGCCAGTTGTCGGGACTGGACCACAGCGGGATAGATCACTTGGTAATTGCCCTGTTCTGCTCATTCCCTTTGAAGCATCTGACACTGGCCATTGTCAGAAGACAGGCTACTGGGCTAGACAGACCATTGGTCTGACCCAATATGGCCATTCTTATGTTCTTATATCATCACATACTTTTCAAAGATATACAAATGGAGCATATTTTTCAGAAACAACATTAGTTTGTACAAGATTCATAAGTTAATAATAATTAACAGCATATTATAGAAACTTAAGGTGGGAGATGGGGAGTCCACACAAAATCCAACAAGCAAAATTTTAAAAAAAAAAAAAGAAAAGAAAAACCACTTGGTAGGTATAAAAGTTCTGTTAGGTCTATTGTTGGGCCTTCAATCACACAGCTTAAAAACACTATGAAATGGATCAAACCATAAATGATTTTACTGTCTTTGCAGGGCTCCTTGTACCTGACTATATCACAGAACCCATTTCAGGACCTGGACATCACTAACAAAAGACATTTCTCAGTCAAACACAAGAACCAATTTCCAAAAAGTGCTCTTGAAAATTAATCTAAGCAGACTCCTTGCATTATTCTAGCACCTTTTATATGTCAAACAATTATCCTTGCAGCTGCTTGGCAAGGTAGCTGTCCCTTTAAAAGAGTACCAGCCTAACACCATACAGGAGAGGGGATCTTTCCAAAGGAGGTTTCTCCTCTGATTCAAGGGATCAAAAGAATCATCAGCTTGGTCTAGTTTTCCTAAACAGCAGCTTATTTCTCAGAGCACACCAAGATAAAAACAAATCAGCATCAAGACCTCCACTGTATAATCGCGTTGAAGAAGATGCCCTCATTACATGAGTGAGGGACTCTGTCCAATAGTAGAAAAGCCGATTTGTGCCCTACCCCTGCTGTTATCTTGGGTGGAGGGGTGGGGAGGGGGTGGAAGAGACTGGAGAGAGGATAACTTTTGTAGGCAGTGTGATATTTATAAGATTGCCATTGTTTAAATCCATATGTTGTCTTTTTAAAGCTTGATTGAATCTCAATAATTAGATTTAGTTACACACCGTGCAGAATACACAACAATTCTTGAATTATTTCTTAACTTTTTTTTAGTATTTATTTTCACTTATTTTTTGGTTTGTTTTTTAAAAAAGAACTGCTATGATGCCTGTTGCCTTGGCACTCAAGCATTGTTAGTTTTATTTATTCTAATTAGAAAAATACAAACAACACCATGCTAACCAAAACAGCCAACCTAAGGAGGGAGGGTATAAAGCTCCAAAATATAAACTATTTAACGACTAGCAACAAAACACATACAAACCTTTAACTAAACTAGATAAACTTCTACTTTACATAAATCAACATTCATACAAAAGTACAACAGGGCATTTTACAGGGTTAATAACGCAGCCATGGGAGAGAGCAGAAGATGAGGATTAAATAGGATGATCTGGGAATTATTTTCCCCTAATGCCCTACTGACATCTTTTGATTATTGCCTCTGCTTCTCCTCACTGTAAGGTGAGTAGAGAATTTCTGAGCGAAAATAACAGGGAAAATATAAGCACCACTTTATATTTTCCATAGATATGGGAAGGGGTGACACTACACAGGGCTCCTCCATCTCCAGCACCCAGCCAGTGCAGAACCCGTACGTTTGCGAGCGTGGGCTTCGTCCACTCTAGTTTTAAAGCTCCCAAGCGAGAGGGCTGCAAGTTTCCAGGCACTGCACAAACCATTCCCTTGCATGAGACAACCGGGCTACTCACCAGACCCGTCCAAGCAGGGGCCTCTGCACCCCCAAGTACCTGTCCTGGAAACTGACCAGCAACCACGGCGGAGGAGGCGTCTACATTAGGGGTGTGCGCGAGCAGAGAGGTGCGGGTTCCTCCCAAGCTCCAGCCCTGGGGCTCAGCGGGTCCCCGAGGACGGAAATCAAAAGGCGCCAGCCGGTTCAGCCCTCCCCGCTCGCAGCCCTGCCGACGGGACAGGGTGCGGGGTGGAGGAGGGAGAGCCGCTGCTCAGGGAGAGGCTGCAGGCGGCACCAGCTGCCCCGCTCCGCCAGCCGCAGCGGCCATCTTCGCGCCCGTTGTCATAGCACTTTAACAACCAACCCAGCTCCCTGAGAGCGGGGACCGGAAGCGGAAAAGGGGTCTGCCCCGGAGCGTCCCGGGAGATGTAGTTTAGAAAACGCGAGTGTGGCCCTGATAGGGCGGGTGGGGTTGTACCATTTCCTGAGGGAGGGGAGAGCAGCTCCCCTCTTCCGAAAGCAGCCAGCCCCGGAGCCATTTCAGCTGCATTTCTCTTTTGACGTATGGAGAAAACGACGCAGTATGGAAGCGCCACAACCTGCTAGGGGGGAAGAGGGAGGCTGATAAAACTCCCCCTCTGAATGGTCTTTCCCAACGTCGTCCCCTCCTTCCCTCCTGTGTGGTAGCGTCGGGATCTCTCGGCCTCTGCCGCTCGCGGGCCCCGGTGTTGCTGTCGGGGGGACACCGAGACTTCCCAGCCCACCCTCCCCGCAGAGGGGGGAGCCGCCATGGATCGGACCGCGGTGGCCAAAATGGGAGCGGTGGCCAGCGCGAGCGTGTGCGCCCTGGTGGGGGGAGTCGTCCTGGCCCAGTACCTCTTCACCATGAAGAAGAAGACAGGCAGGAAGACCAAGATCATCGAGATGGTAGGTCCCAGCGGGACCGCGCGTCGCCCCGGACACCCTCCTGCCCCCAGCCCGGGGCCTGGGAGGGCTCCTACCCCGAGGGTTGGGCTTGTCCGTCCTGACAGCCGCCTGAGCCCCCACGTGCCGCTGGCCGTCTGTTTCGGGCAGCTTCAAAGCCTGCTCGCCCTGAGTCTGTGGGGAGGGGGAGGAGGAGTCCGAATCCATCCCTCGGTACGTCTACATAGGCAGGTGTGTGGGGATTAAAGTCCTTCTAGATTCACGCTGGCGTGACAGGATCGGCTGGAGTCCTAGCAGGGGAATCCGCCGCTGGGCTCTGAGGCGCTGATGCGAGAACATCAGACTAGGAGGGGTTTTTGTGGTTTGCTTGTTTGCAAACTGGTCGCCAGGCGTGCTGGAAGAGTTTGTATAGTGAGGGTGTGGAGAGCCATTGAACCAAACTGCAAATGCTGCGTATGCTGGAAACCACCTCAAGCCAGGGAGTTGCGGCAGCTCCCCTAGTTCCCGCACCTAGGCTGGTTGCAGTTTTACAGTGGAGTTGGTTGGGTGAGGCGAAAAATGAGGGAGCGGCGAATGGAATGCTTGTGAAAGGCGTCCGCTCAACAGCTCTGCAAAGTGTAATGCAAAACTGGTACAAATAAGTGTATTATCCATGCAAGCTTCATCCATACTGCATCAGGCTCGTTCTGGAGTAGCCAGCTCCAGTAACTGTCATTTGCTGCCCATGGCATATTTAGTAACTAGCCTTTTTACAGAGGCACTTGACAAAAGTACCAGTTGTTAAGGTGGTTTTTGTGATATGGACACTTGTCCAGTAAGAACTGGACTGAGACCACCAACTTATTTCACACCAGCCCTGTATGATGTATCGGGGACTGCTGCCACTAGATTCGATTTAAGGCCTAGATTTTTATAATTATTCATACATAATTGGTTCTAACAGATACCACAATTGTACATGCAAATAGTAAAATGTTCAGCTGTTCATTTGACTGTGCAATTACTCCCACCTGTATGTGCAAATCACATGTTTATCAAAACATGAATCCCAGCAAAAATCCACTGTGTGCTATCACTAATCTCCGTGAACCATCTCATTTCCCCCCCCCCCCAGTGAAAAATCTTTACATGCCACGTGCAATGTATAGAAAGTATGGGGTTTTGTTTTTGTTTTGTGTGGTTTTGGTTTCCTGTTACAGCTGCTTGTGGAGGTATGGAAGTTGAGGTTTGTAGCTTCAGGTAGCTCTACTTTCCTAAAATATTTGGAAAGAGGGTAGGAGGATTTAAATAAGGCTTTGTAAAATATGCTATTGACACCGTAAATTAAAATTAATAAACTAAATTATAAATGCTATTTTTCTTAAATGTTGTTACTGGTAGGTTATCTTTGTTTATTGCTTATAGCAGTTTTGTAAAATTCAAACTACTGAAAATTAAGGCCCTGAACCCACAAACACTTAAGCAGGTACATAACTTTTCTTACATAAATAGTCACATTGACTTCAATTGGACTGTGATTAAAGTTAAGCATGTTCCTAAGTATCAGTGGCTAAAATAGTTTTTTTTTTTTCCCTTTAAATCTTTGCTGTTGGGTTATGTCTTTACAGGGGGGCGCATAGTTTTTAATTACATCTACTAACTAATGTGAAAACCACAGACTCCCTTGTCTTCACTAAGACTTTACTTTGAGTTAGCTAACTCAGGTTAAGAACACTCCTTTTCTTTGTTTTTTGCTTATCACTTTTGTTTGTAAGTGTTTGAAGGAAAACATAAGTTTCTGGAATGTTAGAATTAGAGTTTTGCAAATGAATTGATTAGAAGAGGGCAAGTGAGGTGGTCAGAGATGCAAAATAACTGCAGTTCATTCCATGGCTGCAGAGATAAAGGAGTGTATTCCATGGATATGAATAATGAGTATATGTGAAGTATAAAAATTGTTGAGGTATTTAAAATAAGGGGGGGAAAAAAGAAAAAAGGTAACACTACTTTTTTGGGAAGAGTTGTGTTAGCTGTCAATTGTGGCGAAACAAAGTAATTCTGCCCCAAAGAATGCAGGTCTTCCCAAATGAGTGGCAATAATGTTATACCGCACTACCATATATTTTGTTTATGCTATTCAGTGTTTCTCCTTTTGTATTCTGTTGTGGGTTTTAGTCTCTGCTTTTTTATATTTGATGTACATAAGTTACTATGGGAACAATGATGTCACATTAGTGTGAGGGGAGCTTGAAGACCTCCATCAGTACAGAATGAAATCAATCTATTTCATTCTGTTTGAAATAAGGAATGTATAATACTTCACACTTACATAACATCTACCCTTCAAGCATCTCAAACTTAATTACAAAGATTCATGAGGCTTCCCAACACTCCTTGAGGTAAATAAGCATTGTTCTATCAATTTTATAAATAGGTAAACTGAGGTGCAGTGGTTAAATCACTTGTCCAATGTGAGTGGCAATCAGGAAAAAGATTGTGGGAGTCCTGCCTCCTACTCTCCTGCAGTAGCCAGTAGACACACTCCCTCTCCGATTAGCATGACCATGGCGTCAAGAGCATGGGAACTTTGAAAGATGTGCAGTATGATGGTCCATTTGAGAGAAGGAGAATTTTGAAGGGGAAGATTCTGAGCCTGATGCAAGTAGTGATTTGGAGAATATCTCTTGAGGAGCTAATGTTGGACCCACTCATGCAGCAGTGACCCTTAAAACCCTCTCATTACTGGTAATAAGAGTATTAACAGAACGGTTTTTAAATGTTTTTCATTTCAGTATTAAACATGGTTTAGCTGGCCAGTGGAGACCAGGCACTACCATTTTATAAACTATGTTTTAGACTAGTGCATACCTAGAATAATCATTTTACTGTTTTGAATGATACATTCCCAAAGACATGCATAACTAAAACAAGTTGGCATTGCCTGAAGACTCTTCTAAGACCCGTGTGGAGTAGATAATTAGAAAATGGTTTGTAAAACCGGTCTATTCAGGCCAGGAAAAGCATATTTACACTATATTAGCATGAACTGTCTTTAAACATTTGTTCTCCTAACTGGCTTTTTCCACCCATTCTAGATGGGGTCCAACTAGGAGTTGAGACTTCAGACATTCTGTTTCTGTGGTCCAGAGTCCAAAATGCTCTTTTAGGCATTTTTGTCAAGTTCTAGAGACCTATGGGAGGAAAAATATGGCCTCAAAACAAAATGCCAGAGTTCTGGGTTTTTTTCTAAAATAGGTACAAAACCTATTCATATTTTCTCAGATAGGACTTTCTTTACCACAGTCAACTGAAGAATCAGTTTGATCTTCTCTTTCTACAATAGAACTTAGTCCAGTCAAGAAATGAAATTGATTAAACTTTTTTGGTTCAATACCAGTTTTGAAGTACAGCTTCTTATAAAACCTGGAAGGGTTGATGAAATCACCATTACTGACCTATCTTCTTTGAAAATTGATTCCTCATAGTCTTAATAATTATCAATAAAATGTGCTAACATTTGCAATTTGAGCTCCAAATAGTAAAGGTCAGGATTCAGTGCATCCAGTAATGTGATTTTTTTTTTTTTTTGAAAGAACATTAGGGCAGCACTAACTCGTTACCAACACATTTTTCGTGAAAGAGATAGGAGGGTAGAAGATATGTCTGTAAAACAGTAAAATATTTTTTCAGTGATACTGTTCAATGTTCAATGATAATGTTTGTTTAAAAAAAAAAAGGTTCTAGGCATGTACCACATCAGTTCAGATTTTTTTTGTTATTGCTAATTGCAGTTGCATTGTAATAAGTTACTCACTGGCTCCATTTTTCCTTGAATTATTCAGGTGATAATCTAATGCAGGAACTAAATTGAAATCTATCTCAATGCTTTTATGACTAGGTTTTATGAATGAAATGGATGTTGGTTGGTTTTGCTTTTTTAAATTTATGTTCAAATGATAGAAAGTAAATTTAAATAAGTAATTTTCTTTTCATGAAAATAAACATTATTTCTTGAATAAGCTTTAGGCAAAAAACTGCTGTGGCGAAACAAAGTCATTCTCTACAGTAGGCTTCCTCCCACCCCCCTTTTGATTTTTACCACTAGTTGTAACAATGAGAGTACTAGCGTAGACCAGCTGCCAGTGTTAAAATCAGTATGTCACCTAACTTTAAGCAGGTTCAGATCATGGTAGTTCGTCTGTACTAGAGCTACTGTCAGTGGAAGTGAACTGGTGATTGTAGGTGACATTGCTTTGGGGGAAGGTCTACTCCTTGTGGATTAAACAGTCAGTGGCTTTAAATGCACATGCAGTGTTTAAGGTACTTTAAAGTATCTGCTAGACTTTTAGTCTGAGAAGACCACTATTTCTAGAAATTGAGGTGCCAGCCTGTTGACATTTATAACTTTTATTCATTGCATGAGGAAGAATACATCAGCTTCCTCCCTGCATTGATTTGGTGCCTATGCTACTTGACTTGAC